CTTGTTGATCTATCCATTGTTGATAGTGGTGTGTTGAAGTCTTCCACTACGTATGTGTTTTCTCTGATGTCTGTTTTTAGAGATGACAACAGTTGTCTGATATATTTTGGTGCTCCTTCATTTGGTGAGTATATGTTAATGAGTGTTATTTCTTCTTGAAGTATTGTCCCCTTGATCATACTGTAGTGACCATTGGGGTCTCTTTTTATCTTTTTGAGTTTGAAATCTGTTTTATCTGATATAAGTATAGCTGTTCCTGCTTTCTTTTTTGGTCCATTTGCTTGTAGGATTGTTTTCCATCCTTTAACTTTGAGTCTGTTTTTATCTTTTGTAGCTAAATGTGTTTCCTGGAGACAGCAAAAGGTTGGGTTTTGTTTCTCAATCCAGGCTGCAACTCTGTGTCTTTTTATTGAAGAGTTTAGTCCATTTACATTTAGAGTTAATATTGATAATGTTAGCATCTGTATTTGCCATTGTGTTTGTCTTTCCTTTGATTTTATTTATTTATTCTTTTAATAACTTTTTTTTTTTTTGGCCTTCTTTCGTTGTTATTCGTCCCTCTGAGGTTCTGGCTTTAGGATTCTTTGTAGTATTTTTTGGAGTGGGGGTTTAGTCGTAATGAAATTCCAGAGTTTCTGTTTGTCTGGGAAGGTCCTTATTCTTTCTTCATAGAGGAAGCAGAGCTTTGCGGGATAGAGTATTCTTGGTTGGCATCTGTTTTCTTGGAGTCTGTTGACTATGTCCCTCCACTCTCTCCTTGCCCGTAGTGTTTCTTCAGAGAAGTCTGATGTCAGCCTGATTGGTTTTCCTTTGAATGTTATCTGTTTCTTCCCTCTTGTCAGCTTCATTATTTTTTCCTTGTCCTGGATTCTTGGGAGCTTTACTATTATGTGTCTTGCTGTATTTTTCCTTTCATCGTGGAAGTTTGGTGTTCTTCTTGCTTCTTGTATATCAATTTTCAGCTCCTTCTTCACATTTGGGAAGTTCTCTTCAATTATCTCTTTGAATATTTTCTCTGTTCCTACATCTCTCTCCTCTCCTTCTGGTATTCCTATAACTCTTATATTTCCTTTCCTCATGGAGTCAGATAGTTCCCGAAGTCTTTCTTCGTTCTTTTTCCTTTGTACTTCTCTTTCCTTTTCTGTTTTGGTTCTTTTTATTTCTGTGTCTTCAAGAGTACTTATTTGTTCTTCCATTTCATCTATTCTGCTTTCATTGCTTTTCCCAGAGTTCTTTAGTTCCTCCATTAATTCTTTGATCTGCGTTTCTTTTGCTTCCCTCTTTAGGGACTCAATTTCATTCTTCTGACCATTGTTTTCCCTCTTTAGGGACTCAATTTCCTTCTTCTGATCATTGTTTTCCTTTATGAGTTCTGTCATTTTTTTAATCATGGCAATTTTAAATTCTCTTTCTGGAAGGCTCAGAAGTTCTTCCAAGTTACTGTCGTTGCAATCTGGGGGGTGGTTTTCTTTATGTGGTGTGCTTTTTTCCTGAGGAGTTGTTAGGTTGTGTGTGGTTCTTCTACTCCCTACTGTCTGTTTTCTAATTTGTCGTATGCATTGGGACACTGTTGCTGGGACTGGCTGGCATCTTGGGTGAGCTTCTCCGCTCTCCTCTGGCTCCTCCAGGAGCCATCTGTCGGTTTAAAGCAGTCTTTACTGAAGAAAGGTCCCTGTTCTAAAATGCCAATGTGGGGACACACTCCCCTGTGCGCTTGGTCTGCCCCGGAGGTGGGTTCCCACTCCCCCTCTGGGTTTGGACTGCAGGCCAGAAGGGGCCTGGTGTGGGCGAGCTTCCCCGCTCACCTCTGGCTCCCGAGGGAGCCTTCTGCAGGAAGTCTTTATTGAAGAAATGTCCCTGTTCTAAAATGGCGATGTGGGACGCACTCCCTGCGCGTCCGGTCTCAGGCACACTCTCTGCGCGCCCGGTCTGCCCCTGCCGTGGATGCCCGCCTCCCCCTGTGGGCTCAGACTGCTGGTCTGAAGGGGCCTGGGGTGTGCTAACTTTCCAGCTGGCCACAGGCTGCTCCAGGAGCCTTTTGCCGGTTTCAAGCTAGGGGCACCAGAGATCTCTCCTTTTGTTCTTGGGGAGCTGTTTTTTTCACCCCGTGGGACAGGGAAAAGAGTTGGAATGGTAGGGAAAACCTCAATGGCTTTGGGGTGCTGTGTCTGCCTTTTGCCCCACTGACATGGAGGACCCACACCCTGAATTTCGTACCCCGGGTCTCAGTTCCAAAGCCCTCAGGTTCAGGACGCGGGCTGTAGCCCAGTTCAGTGGCCGCAGGAATGGCACCTTTTGTACCCCGCTCCCGTGTCCAGGCGCCTGGTTTCTGATTACTCACTGAGGGACTTTCACCTCGGTGAGGACCCCTGCGTGTCTCCCTGCAAGCCTAGGTCGCAGGCGCGGGTACCTGGGTAGCCGTGATCCGCGTTTGCTTTTCATCGCACCGCTTTTCCGCGCAAGCTTACAGGCCGGCCCGGGGCTGTGTGCTGGTCTCTGGCGGTCTCTGTTGTTCTCTAATGCCGCCCGGAGCCGTTCGCTCACCTCCGCGGCAAATCCTGCAGGGTTCTCCACAGCTCTAGTTCACGGGGTGCGGTGCCTGAAATAGTTCCTTTCCACTCACAGTCCTGCTTGATGCGTAGTTTGTTCTTGTTGGTCATTTTAGTTTGTTTTTTCCCTCCTTTCTGTTGGTCGGAGAGTGCCGACTTTGTGGGTGGGAGAGTGTAGCAGGGTTCTGTGCTTTCCTCCCTTCTAGTCCTCTTTTATGGCAACTTTCTTCTTTGGGTAGTTTGCTGGAGTCGCCCGTTTATCTTCCGTGTCCCAGTTCTCACTGGGACCTGCCGCTTTTCCTCCCTATTAACTTTTTTTTAATGGGAGAGCTTACTCACAGCGTCTCCTCGCCGCCATGTTGCTCCGCCTCCACAAGGTACATTGTTAATGTGCTATTTTGAAAGGAATTTTCTTTCTGAGCAGTAGATCTCAACATGGGCTTATTAACCATATTATAAAATGATGTGTTATTATCCAGGCTTTGTTGTTACATCTATATAGCATAGGCAGATTGTATTTAGTGTGATTCTTAAGGGCTCTAGAATTTTTGGAATGGTAAATGAGCATTAACTTCAAGTCACTGAGTACATCAGACCCTATCTTGATATTCAGCCTGTTCTTTGAAGCTTTGAAGTCAGGCATTAATTTTTCCTTGGTATCTATTCTGAAAGTTTTAGATAGTATCTTCTTCCAATAAAAGACTGTTACATCTATTGAAAATCTGTTAGTGTAGCCACCTTTGTCAATGATCTTAGCTATTTCTTCTGGGTAACTTGCTTTAGCTCTACCAGCACTTACTGCTTTACCTTGTTCTTGGATGTTATAGAGATGACTTCGTTCCTTAAACCTCATGAGCCAACTTCTGCTCACCTCCAACTTTTCTAGTTTAGCTTTCTTGCCTCTTGCAGCCTTGATAGAATGGAAGAGAGTTTGGTCCTTGATATGGGTTAGGCTTTGGCTTATTGGAATGTTGTGGCTGGTTTGATCTTCTATCCAGACCACTAAAACTATCAGCAATAAGACTATTTCATTTTATTATTCATGTGTTCACTTGGATAGTACCTTTAGTATCCTTCATGAACATTCCCTTTGTGGTTCCAACTTGGTTAACTCTTTGGTGCAAGCCTATCTGAGCCTTCAACATGCCTTCCTCCCTAAGCTTAATCATTTCTAGCTTTTTGATTAAAAGTGAGACACCTGCCATTCTTCATTTCATTGAACACTTAAAGGCTATTACAGGGTTATTAATTGGCCTGATTTCAATATTGTATCTCAAGCACTAGTGAGGCTAAGGGAGGGGAGGAGGGGGAGAGAGAGAGAGAAAGAGAGAGAGAGAGAGATATTGAATGGCCAGTTGGTTGAGCATTCAAGAACACACTCAATATTTATTGTTTGCTTTCTTATGTAGGTGCAGTTCATTGTGCCCCCAAACAAATACAGTAATACCATCAAAGATCAGTGATCATAGATCACCATGTTAGATGGAATTATAATGAAAACATTTAAAATATTGCAAGAATTCCCAAAATGTGGCACAGAAACAAAAAGTGTGAGCACATACTATTGGAAAAATAGCAACAGTAGACTTGTACAAACCTATTTGTAGAAACACGGTATCTGTTAAGTGCAGTAAAGTGACATGTATCTGTATATAGAAGCAGCATAAAAGCAGCAGGATAGATAAAATTGGAAAATCCCACCATTTTTCAAACTCTAATGTATCTAAAATCTAAAACACTATTTATTCAAACTATAATATATATAAAATCTAAAACATGAATCAATCCTAAAACCATTGGAGAAGAGGTTGATGATGAACTTTGTAATGGATTAAATATGTTGACACTATCTGAAACCACTGATCAGTTTATGCTACAGGACGCCAAACATTATTGTACCTTATGATTTTATTCAGGGTATACAATACAACTATGATATATTCTTTTTTTTTTTTTTTTTAAAGATTTATTTATTTATTTAAACAAGAACTGGATATAGGCCAGATTCGCGGGAGGGTGAGAGGATTCACCAGAGACAGAGTGGGGAACAGAACAGACAGACTACAGAAATATACTGCTGAGGGGAGCAGCAGGCATGACAGGAGAGGTCTGCTGCGCTATGTGGGGCCCTTGCCAGCTGCTGGATCGAACCAGCGCTGCAGAGGCTGCAGACAGCTTCACAGCACTGGGCTCAACTGCCTGTGCCACCAGGGGTGACCCAAATGATGTATTCTTGCAAAAGAATTGACTGTGACTCTTAAGAAACTTCTAGATCTCATTATTGCTTTCTGAGCAAATAGGGGATAGCAGACATATTAAACATCACCACAGGAATACAACAAGCCAAATGCACAAGTGTGAGAGAAGTTGTGTTGGTTTTTCCAGGGGATTGATTATATGAAAATATTAAAAGACTAACCGAGACCTATTCTTTTTTTTATTTTGTCACAGATTAAAGGAGAAATATCAATATTAACACGTGCGGATCTTGTTGAATGCTCATATTAGCAACTGAAATATAAAGGGAAAATTTTAAGACATTTGCACATTGATGGACAAGAATGGACTACATGGTATTGTTGGCTTTATTGGGTGTAAAGTTGATGTTGTCATTAAATTCCTGTTTTTTTAAAGTCCTTACAAAAAAGAGATACAAATCAATATATTTTGAGTTAAGATATAGAATTCCTGTGATTTGCTTTAAAAATGGAAATATTTGATGATTACTTGTTCTCTACTTTTTTATATATTTATATATTTAAAAATATTCAGTAAACAGTTACCCCCCAAAAAGAATCATCATAAACAATTTTATAACCATCATAAATAATTTCACCTTATATCTTATAGCTTGTGTTTTAAATGAGTTACTCTCCCTATTAATTGAAAGACTGCTGTTTATGATAAAGAGACATAGACTTTACTTCATTGAATAGTGCATGTCCTAGCCATTAGATTAGTCTGTTAGATCTGCGTAACTCCCCACTTCTAAGGAGGCACCCCTGATCCATAGTCTCACTAGGATTAATTGCTAGGTGGGCAAAAACCACAGATACCTGTTAACCTTTCATTTGTTGATTATTCAGGGCATTCAGACTTACTGCTTTTCACACAGAATTTTTAAAACACTTACAACCAACATCATTGAACTGTCTTATTTCTAAATTGAGAGCAGTCTGAAATAATGCCTAGTTAATGCATCTAGCATCAATTCCAGGCACCCTGGATCATGTCAGTTTCTCCTCCCATCTCTGTTACATTTTGTAAGTTATAGACTTTAGAACATTTATGTACTAATAATATACTCTATGCACATAGTAGTCGGAGGGAAAAATAAGAGAGATGGGCATTTAAAATATATATGAAATTACAAGCAAGACAGATACAGATAGCATCCAAAAACCTCACTCACACATTTTTACCAAGCAGGCGTAATTTGCACATGATGATAGAGCGCTGCTGGGCACACCCTGCTTTGTGGCTTGGATCAAGTCTGTCACTAGCGTAGGCTCTTCCCTAAATCCAGATCTTAAACATTTTAAACAGCACTGGGTCTGTTGGGTCATATGAGCAGAGTGGCAGAGTACTTGAACATGGATCAGCTGGGTAGCTGGATCTTCCTGTATTTTCTGGCTCTTCCCTGTATTTTCTCATCTAGGTAAATGGGTAGAAGTAGAAAAATGGTCTAAAATATGTGCAGTGTATGTTGCCTTTAGAATCCTAGAGAGAAGCATTTTACCTCTTAGGTATAGCAGTTATCATTCACTTTAATTTTTGTTTATTTGTTAATTTTAAGTAAGTAATTAGTATAGCTGGCATTTAATTGAAATGATACAAAAAGGTATAGATTAAAACCTAAGTTCCTTTCCTGCACTTACTCAGCTACCCTGGAGGCAACCTCTGATACTGAACATCGGCAGAAGGACCGATGTTCTTATAGATGTTCATTTTGAAGGGCTTATCCTCACTTGGCACAGTCCATTGAATCACAAGAAACTTCCTAAAATAGTAGGCCCTCTATGTTCATGCAGTTTACAGCCCATCATTATTCCATCATGCAAGGTAGCTGTATCTTCCTACTCTCCAGGTTCTATCAACCTGATATACTCAATATGGTAGGATAGTGTTATGTGCTGTGTCCTGAGTAGTTAGTGAAGCAGATGAAAGTGAACAGCTTTCTTTTGTCTCAAAGGAAAAATGCATTTACTTGTCTCATGACTGCATATTAGGTGCCAAATGTAGTATAAATTTTATCCACTTGAGACATAGTCCTTCCTTCTCTGTCTGATGTGCTTCTGGGATGAGTGTGGAGGGGTGGTGGTGGGGCACCTGGAGTTTATTTACTTAGCTCTATCTGAGACACACATTCACTGTATGACTGCTGTGTTCTTTACGTATACTTCAGGTGTAGTAAGTCATGTTGACGAGTTTTTCTTTTCTGTCTTTTAAGACAAAAGTACATCTTCTTATAATTGGAATTTATCATATTTTTACTAAAACAATTCTCCTTGTGAATAAATTGAAATTGAGCATATACAGTAATTTTTTTAAATAAATTTTCTTTTAATTTTTATTTATTTATTTTTAAAGATTTATTTATTTATTTATTTATTTAAGCACTGGGTACAGTCAGAAGTGCGGGAGGGTGAGAGAATTCACCAGAACCAGAGCACGGAGCAGAGCAGGCAGAAGGACCGAAGTACACTGCTGAGGGGAGCAGCGGGCAGCAGGAGAGGTCCGCGCACCATGTGGTACCCTCCTCCGGTGGCCGGGGAGCAGCCGGGGATCGAACCGGCACTGCAGAGGCTGCAGGCAGCTTCGCAACCCAGCGCTGAACCGCTGCTCCACCGAGGAGGCCCATATACAGTAATCTTTAATTAAATTAAACAAATTATTCAGATCAATGCATGTGGAATGAGTTATCTTATTTTTTTCTGAGAAATAAAGAGAAACTGGGAAGAAAATTCATTAGACTAATGCAGAAAGAATTTTTTTACACCTAAATGAAAAGCCAGAAATTCATATGAAATATAAGAACCTCAAAAAAGATTTAAGACATGACTATTAAATATCCATGCATGTTTTTGATTTCCCATTACATTAAAACACTTAAATGAATTTCATATTCAGAACATTTAAAAATAACTCTCTTAAAAAGAAGATATAAAGTATTATCAGCTGTGCTTTTTGTACATAATTAGCATGTGCCTGTTGGAGGTATAATGACTTTTAGTGTAATCTTGTTATTCATCATAAAAAGTTCAGATGGTAAAAACTGTAGTTACAGCTGGATGACACATTTAAAAATAATTCAAAGATCACTCCACAAAAAGCATGCTATTAATCTGCCTTTCATTCATCAATGAATTGTGAAGGCACTGATAAAATATCCTTTTTATCTTGGTTATAGTCCCCATACAATTCCCACCCGCCTTGTTTTGATCCTACTCCTTCCACCCCCTCTTAGTGTGTCTCTGGTTTATAGTTGCTTGTTGATTTTGATTTTTACTTTATTATAATTAGATTTTTTCCTGGTCCCTTATTTAGGTTCTCTAAATTCCTCCTATGAGTGAGAGATGAAAATGCATACATTGTGCAAAAATGAAAAATGATGTAAAAAATGTATAAATTAAAAAAAAGAATAAACTGCTGGCATCTTCCAAAAAAAAAAATCCTTTTTAAAGTGCTTAATTTTCCTCCTTTCTTTTAGATTTAATATATGATGACCTTTAACTACAGTGTTTGACAGGCTGCTGTGAACGTGTATCACCTTTTCCCTTTTAATGAGATGGCCAAAGATTCATCAGGCTTTTCTTCTGATTATCAGTTTTGGATGCAGAAACTTTCTATATGGGACCAAGCCTCCACTTTGGAAACCCAGCAAGACACCTGCCTTCATCTGCCTAAATTCCAGGAATTCCTGAAGCAGATGTTTGAAACCTTAAAAGATATGGTAAGTACACAGTGGCGTACTACTCAGCAATCAAAAAGATAGTGATGCCATTTGCAGCAACCTAGATGGAACTGGTAGGTATTATGCTAAGCAAAATAAGTCAGAAGGAAAAAGAGAAAGATTAGATGATTTCACTTATAAGTGGAAGATAGAGAAACCAAACAAAGGGCTTGAAAAAAAGTCATAACTTGCAAGCTGACTATAGATATGAGGCATATAGGAGGGGAGGTGTCAAAACAAGGGAGGGAAAAGTACAAGGGACTATGGTGATGGATCATGGAAGCTTATGTTGGTGGGAGAACTGTGGGGACTACATCTGAGGGAAGGAAACAAATACTGTCTATAAATTAACAACAATGTAAGAAAAAAGTTAAATAATAAAAACTGTAAAAATAAAAAAAGCACCAAAAGAGTGAAATTATTTTATGACATTGGGGTCTCTTTACTAGATTTTTGTAACGTAAGTAAAGTATTAGGCTTTTCTGCCCTCCCACCATTAGGATTGATGATGGATCCTGCAGTCCTGAATACATGCCTGATGGTGGGCACCGGAAGTAGGGTGTGGGCATATGTAAGTGGATACCCCTGGGCCGAGAGACTGGGCTTATAAGGGTGGTGTCACGGGGACGCCAGCAGAACGAAAGAGAATCAGAAGGAGAACAAATGAGAGCGAAAGGAGCAGAGAAGAAAAGGCCACGAGAGAACATCGGAGAGCCCAGAAAGAGTGAAGACTTGCTATGGGCTGGGAGGCCTGCCAGCCTCCTGGCCCCCAGCACCCCTGCCTGTCTTGTACCTGGTAAATCCCAATAAAAACCTGCAAAAGCCACTGAGGGCTCCAGGACTCCTCCTTTCCCCCGTCTGCCCGATCATAGAGATCCAGCTCCGTGCCCTTTCTCCATGCCCTTACCAACCCAAGTGTTTTACCAACCAAAAACTGGTTTCTTAGTTGCTTCTTGATTTTTTTTTTTTTTTTTGGTCACATGAGACTTCTTGAAAAATCAAGTTGTTTTTAAATAAACCAGATTTTTACAGTTGTTGTCAGGTAAAAATTGGGCTTTTTTTTTTTTCTGAAAGAGCTTTGCTCTCTTAAATATTGAAATGTTACCTATTACTCAACCCTTTTCTAAAGTGGGCTCAAATAAGAGATCATATTTATCACGATCTCTTTTATAAAATTTTAAGTGGTCTTTTCTGGTTAATATTAAGATTTTCAGTGTCTTCATTACTGTCATAGAATTTATTGTGTTGAAAATCTGATGAATTTTCGTTTTGACATAATTTTTCTTTTGCAATAGATATTTTTATGAATTAATATTTTCATGTTATGAAGTATTGTTTTATACTTATTTTCTAACTTCAAAGTAAAAAGCAAAATTGTCATTTAACATAGGTTTTCTTGTGTTATGCTTTTCTTCCCTTCAAGAAAAAGGTAGAAAATTTGAAAAAATTATGTTTATGATATAGGCATTTATAAGTCTCTAGAAACTAGCAGGAAAGACAGATTATGTGAGCAACTAATGCTAAATTGTAATTTTTTTTTCCTTAATAACACTGTAACTTGACCTTACAGTGGTCCCAGAAAGTCTAGGACTGGCCTTGATGCTGAGACAAATGTGAGGAATTTATTGCTGCAGCAGTAGGAAATGCTTATCGTTTCAGCTTATGTGCACATTATCTCAGTTTGGTCTTATTTTTGAACTTTCTTGAAAGTTTAAGAAGTGGGAAGTGGGCCAGTTGTATAACAGCATTTATATATTTTAATCTTAAGCTGTTTTCTATTTAGTTGATCTCTTTTTTTGTCTCAGGTTCTTAGATTGTTGTAGACTAAGCATGATGTCATTTAGCATATTGTAATCAAAAGGGTTATAAACTGAGATAAGTATCTTTATGCTTTGGCTGCTTTTATTTCATTTTACAAGTTCCAGAGTTCCTGTCCTCTCAAACATTCTTTGAAATAGCCCCGCTGGAGCTGAGTTAGGAACCCCTTTTGTATGTTAGTATTAAAAACAAGGAGGAAGATACAACATTGTAATTATTAATCACCCACAATGTTTACAACCCATTTTACAGTCTTTTTTTTTTTTTTTTTAGTCTTGCTGTTTATAAATAAAGTGACTTTTACTGACTTATGAGTAAAATAATGTTAACTTTATTGCAGAAGTGACTTAGTTTTGGTGATCTGGTTAAAGGATGAAATTAGGTGGTTGCTGGTTAAACTTTATTTTAAGGTGGTTGGTCGTTACTTGCTTAAAGACCTAATCCTTTTTTCTACTTTTCTAAAATATGTATTAAACAAGAAATATATATTAAACAAGATACTCAACCTGTAGTGTCAATTCAATTTTTCTGAGTTGTGTAATGTCATTTCAGTGACCAAAACATAATTTCCTTTCACAGGATTCAAATACAATCATTGGAAAATTCCCCACAATTGGTCAACTGTTGGCAAAAACTTGCTGGAATCCTTTTATCTTAGCACATGGTAAGTTGTTTTTGTATGTATGTATAGATACACACATAGTCTCTCTCATTCTCTCTCCCTCTCTCTCTCTCTCTCTCCCTCTACCTCTCTCTGTGTGCCACACACACATACATGTATAGGAAAACAACTTGTGTTAGAGAGCAGAAACTGAGATGATTGCAACTTCATTTTAAACCACTGTAAAATGGTTATAATAATGAAATAACTTGTTCTAGTTTCATATTAACTCATATAATGCTTTCTATGTATCATTCTTCAGAGTCAGAATTCTGATATGGCTCAGGGGTGATATTTTGGTTTTACCCAAGGTTAAGTGAAATTTGGGGTCACTTTGAGGGAGGTGTTCTCTCACTGATCTCTTGCCTACCTGTCCAACCTCATTTCCTATTTATTCCTCCACAGCTCCACCACATGCATGGTAGCCAGGTCAAATTACTAACAGTGCCAGAAGGCTCATGATGTCAGGGCCTGTGACAATGCAGTTCCTTTTGCCTAGAACTCTGTTCTCACATCTTCTCTTCAACCTTGTTTGAACTAGCCTCGCTGGTGCTGAGTTAGGTAACTCTCTTATTAGCTCCATAATCCCCAACATCTCCCTTAATTATAACTTATGACACTGTTTTATAATTTTTGGTTGCCTGTGTGGTGCCCTGGAAGACTGAATGCCTCTCAAGAGCAGGAACTGTGGTTTTAGTTATCTTTGTCATTCTAGGATCTAGCATAGATCTGAGTATCTGAAGATACACAGTTGAGGTTTGCTGACTTGATACCGCTATATTATTAGTAGTGTAATATTGTAGGGTAAGTGGAAACATGTCAGGCATTTCTGCCCTCCTGCCATAGGATTAGATGCATGCCTCATGGTGGGGACCTGGAGTAGGGTGTGGGCATACCTAGGTGGGATTCATCTGGGCTGAGGTGGGGCTTATAAGGGCGGCGTTAGGAGGAAACGGGACAGAACAAGAAGGAGAACAAGCGAGAGACTGGAAGAGGACCAGCAGAGAAGCAGAGGCCAGGAGAGAACGCCGGAGAGCTGGAGAGTGAAGACTTGCTGGGGGCTGGGAGGCCTGCCAGCCTTGCCTGCCTTGTACCTGGTAAATCCCCATAAAAGCCTGAAAAAGCCACAGAGGGCTCCAGGATTCCTCTTTCACCCGTCTGTTCGAATCGTAGAGATCCTGCACTGTACCTTCCCACCACTGCACATACTTACTTTTATATTTTTTAAGTCAAAGACTAATGACATAACAATGATACTAGAATAAAAAAAATGCATATTCCTGTTTGGTGTTTGAAGGAATTGTACAATTTCATTTCTAGTCTGTCATAAGTCATTGTAAGAAGCCTGAATTCTTTTTTTTTTAATAAATTTTATTTTTATATTCCCCATACATTGCAACCCCCTTATTTTGACCCCAATTCCTCCGCTCCCCGCCCCCTACCCTCCATAGAGTGTCTCTGGTTCATAGTTGTTTGTTGATTTTGATTTTCATTTTCTTATAGTTATTCACTTTCCTGGTCCCTTATTTAAGTTTTCTAGATTCCTGCTATGAGTGAGACCATCCGGTATTTTTCTTTTTCTTTCTGGCTTATTTCGCTGAGCATGATCCCTTCCAGCGCCATCCATGTTGCTGCAAGTTGCATGTGTTTATCTTTTTTGAATGCTGAGTAATATTCCATAGTGTATATGTACCACATCTTCTTGATCCAGTCATCTATTTTTGGGCATTTGGGCTGTTTCCAAAGCTTAGCTATTGTAAATAGTGCTGCTATAAACATAGGGGTGCAAGTGCTCTTTGGAATTGATGTTTCTGCGTCCTTTGGGTAAACACCTAGGAGTGGAATTGCTGGATCATATGGAAGCTCTATGTTTAGTAGGTCCAGAAATCTCCACACAGCTCTCCACAGTGGTTGGACCAGTTTGCACTCCCACCAACAGTGCAGAAGAGTTCCTTTTTCTCCACATCCTCGCCAACATTTGTTGTTGCTAGTTTTTTTAATATGTGCCATTCTCACTGGTGTAAGATGGTATCTCATGGTAGTTTTGATTTGCATTTCCCTGATTACAAGTGATGCTGAACATTTTTTCATATGCCTGTTGGCCATTTGCATTTCCTCTTCAGAGAAGTTTCTTTTTAGCTCTTCTGCCCATTTTTTGACAGGATTATTTTCTTTGTTGTTGTTGAGTCTCATCAGCTCTTTGCAGATTTTTGTGATCAGTCCTTTATCATTAGTGTTGTGTGCAAAAATGTTCTCCCAGTTGGTGGGGTTTCTCTTTGTTTTTGTTATTGTCTCTTTTGCTGTGCAGAAGCTCTATAATTTGATGTAGTCCCAGCTGTTTATCTTTGCCTTCACTATCACTGCTTTGGGTGATGTGTCTGTAAAGATGTCTTTGATGTGCATATCACGTAGTGTTTCGCCTATATTTCCTTCTATTTATTTTATGGTTTCAGGTCTTATGTCTAGTTCTTTAATCCATTTTGAGTTGATTTTTGTGTATGGTGTGAGGTAGTGGTCAAGCTTCATTCTTTTGCATGTAGCGACCCAGTTTTCCCAGCACCATTTATTGAACAAACTTTCTTTGAAGCCTGAATTCTTTTTTTTTTTTTAAAGATTTATTTATTTATACAAGCACCGGGTACAGTCAGAAGCGCGGGAGGGTGAGAGAATTCACCAGAGCCAGAGCGGGGAGCAGAGCAGGCAGACTGAGGTACACTACTGAGGGGAGCAGTGGGCGGCAGGAGAGGTCTGCGAGCCATGTGGGACCCTCCTCCGGTGGCCGGGGAGCAGCCAGGGATCGAACCTGCGCTGCAGAGGCTGCGGGCAGCTTTGCAACCCTGCGCTCAACTGCTGCGCCACCTGGGAGGCCCTGAAGCCTGAATTCTTAAAGTACAGTACGTGAGATGAGAGATGAGATTTTCTACGACAAGCCACCAAACTTCCTGGGTCTGACTTCTTTTTGTAAAAGACTAGATTGATTTATTCTTTTTTTAAAATATCTTTTTTTTTTAAGATTTATTTATTTATATAAGCACTGGGTACAGTCAGAAGTACGGGAGGGTGAGAGAATTCGCCAGAGCGGGGAGCAGAACAGGCAGACAGATGAAGCACACTGCTGAGGGGAGCAGCCGGTGGCAGGAGAGGTCTGCGCGCCATGTGGGACTCTCACCGGCGGCCGGGGATCGAACCAGTGCTGCAGAGGCAGCGGGCAGCCTCGCAACCCAGCGCTTAACTGCTGCACCACTGGGGAGGCCCTAGACTGATTTATTCTTACGCCTTTAGCTTGTATTGGTCTGTAATCTTTCCTTAGCACCTAACTTCAGTACCTTGGCTTCCTCTGACAAACAAATTTTCTGTCTCTTTTTGTTCAATGCTTGTGTTACTTTTGGAACTGCCCATTAAATTCCAGTTTCTTGTTTCAGGTACATATTTGGTTCGGAGCTCATAGAGGAGACTAACTGGCATATATGCGCCACGAGTAATTCTTGTCTATGTCACTACTATTGTTTCACTAGTGGGGCACTTTCTTCCAGAAAAGAATCCTTTTTCATGATATTATAATCTCAAAGTTACTCTTTACATACAGTAAAAGTAAACAATTTCCATCAAGGAGTCTCCCATAAAGAGAATGGGATCAGAAATAGGGTAATAAAGAAGGTAATTATTGCACAACTATCCCAGGTCTTGGAAGGTTCATTGTCAATTCTTGTGGATGAAAAGAGGATTTTAGAGCCCTTAGTTTTTATAGGCCTTTAATGCTGAATCAAAAGACAGACCTGCAAGCAGGGAGGCAGCAATGGAGCCATAGTGTAACAGGGTGGTCCCCAGGAAAGGGGGAGGTTCCCTGCCCCACCCAAGGGAGGGTGGAGCTGAGCAGGAAGAGGAGAAGCTGCAGAAGAGACTGAGGAAGGAAGCAGGATGGAGCCAGAAGGAGACCTGGAGGAGGCACATGGAGCCTAGAGACACGTGAAGAAACTGTGCTTGTCTTTTGGTCGTGGACTGGGTGACACAGATGTGGGTGAGACCCGTGGGGAGGTGACAATGGCAGCTTTTATCTTGATGTTGATTTTGCTCTTTTCCTTCCGGACTTGTCCGGTTGTTTGTGACCCTTCTCTGTGGGTCCCCACTGGAAGATGCTTTAGACTTTTAGCAGGCTTTGGGGCTTTGCTCTGCGCCATTCCCATATGGATGGACTTTTACCCACGAGGGGATGGGTAACTTTGGGTGCTTCATCTAGAAACTAGATTATTTGCCTTACCTGTGTTGTTTCCTAGTTTAATTAAAGTTCCTTCCCATTAGTCTCATGTGTTTTGTGTTGATGCGGCGGATGGCAGAACCCATGTAGAATAGGCAGGTTTGCAGGGTTTGGGCTGACCCTCTCCCTGTCCTATAACAGATTTGGCGTCCAACGTGATTTAGGACAGAGCCATCCGTGGTTAGTCAGCCCCATGGGGAAATTGGGCTTCCCTATGGCACTGGCTACCATAAGCGCAAATGTGATTTTTGGTTTCTCCGGTGTGTTTGTTTCATATGTCGATTTGAAGATCTGTGTGTCTGTATGTAATTTGTTTGTAGTGACTTGCTAAGACATTTGATTTTGTGGAAATTGTTCTGTGCCAGTTTTACTCAAAAGATTAGGCAGTACATTGGACCATGTGGCCAGATCAAAGATGGCGTCTGAGGCCACTTGGAACTTTTTTTTTCTTTCTTTTTGTAATCTCTGCTGTCTCATTAGCATTTCTAAAGGCAATAATGGTTCTTCAGTGGTATGTTGCTTTGTCTTTGACTACTTCCTGCCCTGTGTCTGATGGGTTTTGCAAGCCAACTGTGGAGCAGTGGTGTTTTAATTAGCAAATGTATGCCTGGGTGTTAAGGAAAGAGTAGCCTTAAGCAGTAACTGGTAATCACTGGTATCCTTGATGGATTCTTGGAGATAACTTGAATTTTTGCAAAGTCTGGATCAGAAAAATTAACAAGATTTTGTCTGAGTCTTGAAGGATTTG